TTGGCACTAAGTTTTGGACTATTTGACAAAATAACAAACAATCATGTAAGGCTAAAAAAGGGAAGTTTGGCAATGCAAAAGCGTGATGGCATATTGGTATAAAACATATTTTTATGACTTAGGAGGACACTCTGACTGCATTGTCTAATGTATTGTTTTTGGTGTTGACGTTTTTGTTTTTACAGTTTTATACCAAGCCAACATGACTGCAATACATTTCCCACAAGTCTTTAAAAAAGCTGTGGAAAATCAAATTGTCCATCTCTTCTTCATACATCACACTCTTAGGTGTGCATTAACCGTGGGTTATGATTTCATTTTACAGTCCGGTATGTGAAATTATCAGTTATCAAATAATCAATATTTAGCTTTAATTTGATTGACATTTGCTAGACCAAACACTGTATTCATTAATCTAGTAATTGTCAGTGCCAATGCAGTTCATCAAAAGGTAAGAAAAATTGGGTGCCAGTAGCCTAGCGGTTAGTGCCTGCACCCCATGCACAGAGGCTATGGTCTTCCAAGCAGGTGGCCCAGGTTCGTCATTGCCTACTCTCCCTCTCTTTAAAATGTCTGACTCTAGACTAGAGACTGTCATATCCCTAAAATAATTGTATTCAAATAAAACATCTCATGAAGCGTCTTCCTGGGTGACAAAAGGCTTTCCATAGATTCATAAAGACATTGAATACTGTCGACTAGACATGTTAACAGCTATTCTGGTGTATTTTCAGTCCAGCCTTTTACTGGAAATCATTTCTGGAGAGACAGGTTATACTTTCTCATTGTAGAGCGATTGTTTACCAACACCAATACTAAACTCTGCGAAACCATTTTGCACATTGCAATTGTTGTTACTCTAAACTTGTTGTGTGCTGCTGCCCTCTTGGCCATGTCACTCTTCTTAAAGAGATCTTGACCTCAATGAGTCAACTACCTGGTTAAATAAAAAAAAACTTTACAGTATATTTTCTAAATTTTTAGGGTAGCTCTATTTAAGGTTAAGGATAATCCTTTGAGCTGTAAAATGGAAGGACTACCTAATACACGATACATCACACGCCACAAACTGGAAAATCTGATTAGGAGGTACGTGCAAAATAACGCAACATCAGATGCTTTCACTTTCACTCTTCCAAACATAACCCTTTTCCTGAGGCTGGATGGGAGAAATTATTGAAGTTGAACCTGAGGTAAAGTTTCAAGGTTGAATCAAACTTGGGAGCAGAAGCTGCTGCTCAGGATCCAGGCCATGGAAGCAGCTATAGTCAGAGATCAGCCCAAAATAGGACTGAGCCATTGAGACTCCCCCAGCCCAATTTATCACAGTGCTTACAGCTCAGAGCAGAGGCGAAAGAGAGAAATATCACACAGAATTATCCTTTCATCCACCCCTGAGCCTTCGCTTGTGGTAACAGACAACAGAAAGGTTGGACAGAGGGAGGGAAGCTATTAAGAAGAGGCGTGGTTGTTGAACTAGAAGGTGCGTTTCTAGTAGTACAAGCAACAAATAACAAATATGGAGTAATTCCAAACATAACAAAGTGTAATAAGTAAGGCTTTGATTAATAATCCATGAGAGCAATATTTAAAGATGAATGAATTAGACATAGCGCGGATGGGTAACATAGCTAATCAGGATGAATTAATGTTTTTTTTGAGTCTACAGAGGCTAAGGATTTTCACAAGATAATAAAGCGTGCATATTTACGGGCACACCGAGTTAGCAGGATTCCACTGTGCCCTGTTTCTGACTCACTCATCATTTAAGCTCTCCCTTTTTTTTCTACCCATCCTCCTTCAGGCAATTGCTCCCATTCTGTTCTCTCATCTTTTCCTTCGCTCTCTCTCTCTCTCTCTCTTCCTGTGTTGCAGTGTGATGTCACCACCAGAGAGCTAATGTTCCGTATCCTTGGGGTGCTGCATTCCTCCTTTCAGACACACACTGCACAAATAAAAGCCAAAGCTGACGCACTAACCCCTCCAACACCTCAGCGGTCTCTCTTATCCCTCCTGTCCATCTGTTTGGTATTCAATCCTTTCAAATCTCTAATTGAATCTCATTAGGCTTAGCCTTTAACAGCGACAAGAAACTTAAGGCTGAAATAACTACGATTCAAAGAGATCCAATTGGTTTTTGTTGGCCAAGAAGAAGACAGAAACACCTTAGTCTGAATTGGCAAACTAATCAATGTTCACAGCCTTAAAAATGAGAGGATTCATTTCATTAATTATATTCATCACACATTCAATGACAGGATCAAGCCAACTTCACTCAAATACTTAAGGTCCTGATTCAGAATGTATCAGCTGCTCAAATCCATTGAAAAACTACAAAAGAGAAGTGATGACACCAGTTTGAGTTATAATGGCACTCACTCTTAACAAACTGATGTTTTATGCTAAGAAAGAGCTGTATCTGACATAGAAGCAGCTTATCAGAAGACACCCCTGTGGGCTTTGCTGCTACTGTGAATCAGTGGAAATGTTTAGCTTTCTAAATTGTCCTTTTTTGGGAGTTCCTGATAATGCAGGCAGCAAGATCCAAACAGGAAACTCCCCCAGAGATGAACTCTTCTTCCCAGAGTTTCTTCTCGTCTGCACGCTGTCTGTGCCCGATGCACCCCACAGCCGACACAATTTGCCATGCTTACATGTTTGTTGGTCACTGTCAGATTACCCCAGTGACAAGTTTCACCTCAGCCCTTTCCTGTGATACAAGGTGAAAATGAGATGAAGTTGGTTTTGTTTTCAGTATGACACTGGTCTCCTTGGAAATCACATTTCACAGAAATGAGTCCAGAACTAATCTGAGATAGGATATGGCATTGTGTTCGACCACCTTAGATTCCTAATACGAGTATGAGCTGAAAAAAAACACAAAACTATCTTCCTGCCCATGCACCACTTTGTAAACATTTTTCAATGGAAAACAGCATATTTTCTATGTTCTCCATCTCTGAAGCTTGGCACTAATAAAATGTAAAACACTCATAGTGCTCGAAAGCACAACAAAGAGAACACAACAAGTTGTTTAGCTTCGGGTGATTGGCCTCTGGCGATCGTGGCCTGTATGGGAGCATTTGATTCACAATAGTTTTACATCAAGGCTTTTATACTGACCTACTGCTATTCAATGGTCCTCTGAGGTGACCTTAATACGCCAAGAATGAATGATTGGGGGGGGATGGGGGCATGCTAGGGATGCAAGATACAACCGCTTTCCATTTAGGTCATTTTTCAAGAATTAACTCAATTACACTTTTTCAATTAAATATAGTGTGAGGATTTTCTGGTCTGAATATATTAGGGTTTGGACTGATCAAACAAAACATCCCATTTTGCATAGTGACAAGCATGTTTCAGTACTTCATGTTCTTTCTATATACTGGATGAGAAATTGCAACAACAAAAAACATCGACTGCAGCCCACTGTTGCTTTGACCTGATTCGTTATCATACTTATATTATGGCTGAATTTGTTTTACTATTCCTGCAGCCCTGTTCCATCACTGACACAGGTGCTGTAAACATATATTCAGTTTGGGCTACATGTTCACACAACCTTGCAAAACATTTAATTTGTCTTTTTTTTTATTCAACAGGTTCCAGTTGTTCAGTTGTCCTCTCCCCCTCCCCCCCAAGGATTCTTCTGTGCATGGGCCCCTTTAATCATCTCTGCATACTGCTCTGAATTTAGATTACCACAATATATCACGTACCCCAAATCATTATCATCAACACTTCTACAAGTCTAAAGCAGCTCACTTTGAACAGAGCATTTCTTGATTGCATCACTTGGCGAGAAGTCAGTGAACAACAACCATGGACATCATGACTTCTGCTCTCATATGAAGATAGTCTAGATTGGGATTTGAATAACATTTCGTTTCACTGCACTGGCGCTGCTTTGTGTGCGTGTGCGTGTGTGTGTGTATCACTTCTACTTCTGACCACTACCTGTAAACAGCTTGGTCAGCAGTCAGCTGTTCAGCTACAATGACGTCATACTATCTCCTGTAGTAGCCACACAAACATTTGACGTGCCTTCTGCCCACACAAAGGCTCTGAAGGTGTAAGAAACCCTAACAGAATGCTTTTTAGTGCCGGCCCTGTGTGTATGTGTTTAACGAGTGTGTGAGACGATGTAGAAAACACAAATATTGTAGCGTAGCCCTCTTGATGCACGACACACTTCTGCAGGGTTCCCTTGGTTCCCAGCGCAATTTTTTTGGCTTGTTTGTTTGTTTGTTTGTTACGGGAACAAGCCGAGACACAGGGAACAAGCCTGTGAGAGATATGAGGGTTTGTGCTACAGTAGCAGAGCAGCACAACAAGGGTGTGGTGACTCGGAGAGGAATTTCCTCGGGACGGGCACATTTTTCCAACTGCTTTTCACCAAACAGGCGAGAAGAAATGACTTTATAAAGCACAAAGGAAAACCACAGTGACACTCACTCGGTAGTATATTTTACATGTTCAGATATACACTTTTGCCATCAAATTATTCTTGTTCACACGAAACACACCCGATACCATTTACTAAAAGAGGTTTTAAACGAGAAAGAGGTCTTAAAAGTTTTAGACAGCGAGAAAATATCTGCTTGTTCCACCTCCACAGCTGAAGTTTATATAATTAAATTACGCAATGAAGAAGCCAATAAAAATGGGAATATAGAAAAGGGCTTGGTAAGATATGACCCATATCTTCGACGCGGAATTGCTGGAGAGAGAATAAACGGGAGTGTCCGCTGTTTAAGATGCTTTACTTCCACAGTTTCATCGACCAAAAAATGTCGACAATCTAATGGCATTACGCCGGAAAAAGAAAACTTCGAAACAAGTAACAGGTTTTTGATTCACCGAGGTGCTGCTGGTTTCTCAGCTCGTTTGAATACTTCTCCTTCGAACTTCAGGCTCGCTATTTCTTACTAAATCAGCTCTTCAGACGGTTTATAAATTAAACGAAACAAAACGAGAAGAACAATTTGTTCTCTTACCCTTCCCACAGTGTGCTTTCAGATACCAAAGTCCTCCGTGTTCCCCTGCCGCTGTCGCTCGACCCTTCAAGCGGCTGTAATCAGAGTAAAGGAGCTGGTTGAAGCGGCCAAACTGGTAGGCCTACTCACAAGACCCTCCCTAATGCTGCGTTCAAGGTCTGCATGGACACTTTTCGAAGTCGTTTAACTCAGAAGAAAAACAGTAGTTGAGTCTGCAAAAAAAAAAAAGTTTATTTCAAATGTCATACACTTGATCAGAGAAACCAACATGCATGTCCAACTATTACTAAAGGGAGTATCAAATAGCTATTAACAAGTAAAACATCGGTCACAAATAGCCTTGGTGTTGCTTGAAAAAAAAAAAAAATCCAGTGTGGATTTTCCCTGTACATTAGTACACAAATAACTTATGTGAACTCTTGTTGTAACCATGATAATAAAAAAAATACTTAAACGTGAACTCCAAAAAAAAATCTATTTTTGCTGTGTTGTCATTGATTAAGACTTAAGACCTACATTTAAGACTTGGAGTTTACACTCAATGCCAATTTTTCTATAGAACACGTCAAGCCAGATCACAATGAATGTGTAGTTTCCTTTCGCAAATGTATTCTAACATTTACATAAAATGTGTCATAGGACTACTACATTTTCTAAAAAGGGAACCACATTTTTCCATTGGAGCACTATTTAAAAAAAAAAATCCAGACTGCCCTTGAATGCATCACTGTGGTCTTCAGTTTGAGATTTCTGCGGCTGCATCCTATTGGCTGAAACAATTAAACCGTTACAAGGTCGCTGCCCCTTTACAGTTAGACATTTAAACACTCAATTGTTATCTCAAATTATATTTCTTAAGACATTCTTATTCTTATTATTCTTATTATTCTTATTCTTATTCTTATTCTTATTATTTAGCCTAAGAGCTTTTCTCCCACAGTGCAACAGGAAATGACTTTACAGGGATTTGAACTTTTGAACATGCCATCAGTATGTCTTTAAATTCATTCATCCTGAAGTGCAGATCTGTACAAATACAGTAGCTACAGTAATAGTTATAAACCCACAGTTATTATTTGTAAGCACTAATGATGCTTAAACACAATTATTTACAGTCAAATCCGGAGGTTTAATTGTATCCAACGAAAAACACTTATTGCCAAAATTTGATGGTAATGATTTTGTTTCTCATTAAGTTAGAATGACAAGTGTTCACCACAAACTACAGATAAATGTATTCCTCTTCTCTGTGGCTCTACTGCAATACTTTGGAAAGTTCAGTGCAGTTTCCATGGTAATACTTCCGCACTGTAGTTTCAGATATGGTGGTGGTGGTGGTGCACAGTGCCTCCCAGTCCCATACAATACTGATGCTATTTCTGAAAGATGTCAAGGGTGGGGAGCTCCCGCTGGCCTCTATGTGATGATGTCTGTAGAAAGATAGATAGCTAAACTGAAGCTTTGCTCTATTTATTCAATGTGTATTTGTATAAGGACAAGAATGTAGCATGTAAACAAATGCCACACACCACAGAATTCAGTTTGCTTCAAATGCCCATTGGATAGGCCTAAAAATGCATTCGATTTAAACAAATAAATAAGTGAATACACACACTTACAATACATATGAAGCACACAAAAGTCAGACAAAGTCAACCCAAAAGAAAATGTAGACAGAAAAAAAGGCTACAAAATAACATAAACAGTAAAGAAAAGAGGCACCAGTTGTTGTTTTTTTACTAACACTATGACTAAACATTCTTCAAAAACTTTTTAAAAATGTTTTTGAGCTTGAATTCTGCCGGTAAGTCGCTGCATGTTGATCCCCAAACCAGAAAAAAAAGCTGTATGTTCTACATTTTACATTGTGGCCACCTGACCCGCAACTTCTGTAAAATGATCCAAAAGTTTCTGTATGAAGTGGAACCAAAAGGTCGCTGAGCACCTGTCACCTTCACAGTCTTTAAGACTCAGACGACCGGAATTCTATCACTACTAGAATGGCCATAGCAGTCACTTTCACTGATTTACAAATGTTTTGCATATAATTTCAATAATCAATATCAAATATAAGAATAAATGGATCTGTAATGTTATGATAGGTCATAATGCATTTCAGGACACAAACATTTAAATTCTAATGAATGTGACATTATATTACTTAATCCACAACCACAGAGACTGCTATTTTAGTTATTCAAACTCGAATTAGATCAATATTGTATTATTTGTGTTAGTTGGATCCATCAAAAAGTGTTTGTTATAGATGCTTCTAAATAAAATGTAAAAAGAGAAAAAAATTATGAAACCATTTGTAGGAGTTTCAGAGACTGCTGAGACATTCAGATAAACATAAATATGGATTTACAACAGCTGTGTAAAAGCTGGTTCTGTATATTTAAGTGGAAGGATATGTTTGAGAAATATGTAAAATGAAAACTGCAAATATTTCACAACACTAGTAAACCTGTATGAGCTCTTTTTTTTAATTCAGAAACATTTCTGTGTTTGTCATCATGAGAGGGACAAATATTAAAAGATTATATGTTCCACAGATGTTGACAAAAACAACGAAGCTATAGAAACCTATACCTTAGTGAACTCTGCCAGCAGTATCCTGTCATGAGATGAGTCCTTCCTGAGTGCTGGCTGCAGTATGAACTAATGCTGAACAGGAGCACTGTGCAGGAGCTCTAAATGGAAGAGAAGTCAAAGTTCTGGTTTCACCAAACAAAGAAAATGTCATCAAACAGAAGTTGTTAGTATATCTCATATCCTAAAATTATACAGAGAGTAGATCAGTGACATGACCCCATGGGAATAAAACTATAATCAGTCCACTATGAAGTCCTGTCAAATCACAGTGTCCTCATTGTTATTAAGATCCAGAAGCAAGAAATATAGTATATACAATAAATATATAATAACATTTTGTAAAAAAAAAAAAAAAAAAGAATATCTGAATGTCCATAAGTCTTTGTTATGATAACTTTGCATTATTATCTAGAGGGAAAGCTAACTTAAGATGTTTTCAGTCTTTCATTAAGCTTTGACGAATAACATCCTGATAAAGCAGTTTTTAGTTTCTATAAATGAAAGTGATACCTCCTGTGAGATGACTGATCCTCCCAATCTCCAGTTTCTCCAGAAAATGCTAGAAACTAGAAGCTTATTTAAGTTAGTCCAGAGGTATAACCTCAGCCCCCCCTCAGGACAGAACTTCAAAAAATCAATATATATTTGTGAAACCCAGGCGTGGAATTTCCAATCTTTCCCACACTGATAATGTTAGATGAGTAAACATAGAAGACGAGAGAACAGGCGGCTCGTGTCCCAGAGGACACTGGTTACTACTGTCACTGCTCAAATGTGAGGACACAGTGACACCTAGTGGTGTTAGGGACACCGTACAACCAGAATCATATTACAGTTTCTATTCTGTAGAATAAGTGAGGAACATTTTTTAAATGAACCTGAACGCCCTGATGGTGAAAAAATAGCTGATAATGGATGCATTTAATGAGTGATCACCACTGCTCTACTGTGAATAAGTTCTGTTTCTTCTTTTTTGTGACAGTAAACAGAATATTTTGGTGTTTTTGACTGTTGCTTTGACAAAAATATGTTTGAAATATCCTTATAGCCTAGGGGAACTTTGGTGTGACTTTATGACAATCTGCTCTCTTCTTTTTGGTGATATTTGTGCAGGTTATTTTGTCCATTTTATTGCCTTTATTTGATAGGACAGCTGAAGGCTGACAGGAAATGTTGGGATGAGAGAGAGGTGGATGACGTGTTGCAAAGTGCCGAGGTCGGATTGAACCCACGGCCACTGCGACGTGGCCTCTTTACATCGGGAACACGCCATAACCAGTAGGCTATCTGGTGCACCACAATCTGCTCTCATTTGAAAGACCTAATGCTTATTTGCTTGATTAATTGCTAGAGGTTATTAACAAGAATTCTTAAAGTTGTTGCCCAAATCACCAACAAATAATATTGAAATCAATTAATAACACAATTTAGTCTGATATCAAAACTGGGGAAATCTGAAATGTTTGAAAGGAAACACATTGATTGTTATTATTAATTAAACAAACACATGCATGCACTCTAAGCAGGGGCTGTCACAGATCGCTCAGATAGTCAATATTTCTAGTGCAAAGTCTATTGATACACAACATAGTCAATGAGCTAATCGAGTATTAAGAATACAATGTATGTGTTGCAAATATTTAAGATCAAAGGTACAAAGAAATCAATGAATGAGCCAAACCAGTCATTTGTTAATTATCATCCTATGTTTTCAGCCTTACATTAAAAAGTTATGTCTTCCAATTATGATTGTAACGAGGTCCATGACTAAAACATGATTTTATTTCCCTACACAGCTTTCTATCAGGTGTGCTTCTGATTACACAAACCAAACAATTTGTAATGACTTCATAATTAATCTGTAAGAATGTGAAGCGATAAAAAACTGTTACTCATGTCATGGCTGTTCTCTAAACCTATTGCATGTGGAAAGATGAAAAACCGACCACTAGAGGGCCCTATAATCACACACACAATAAGAACAATTACCTCAAGTGCTGGTTGTGCTTTCCTGTCTTCTTGAGTTCCTCATAATTCATCTTCTTTATTAAAGGTCTTTAAGAGACTAGCATCACCTCCACTGACGTCCAATCAGACGACATTTATAACCAGTGACCTCGTCTGCCCCCTCCCACTCACGCTGGGAGCTGATTTTTCTTCCAAATAGTGCTATTAGTAGCAGAGAATGTGGGCTCACTGGTTTTGTCCTCTCCAAAGTGTCTTTTATCTCGGCTCCCTTTGGTGTCTTTTTCCTCAGTAAGCCGGAGTCAGTTGAGTAAAAGACACTGCTGGGAACACAGAGAGAGTGTGAGGAAATTCCCCCTGCTGCCCCTAGTCTCATATAGCAGCCAATGGCTGGCATGGATTATCATGAATCATGTGTAGGTGTTGTCATTAGGGGGAAAGGAGGAGGTCAGAGAAAAAAGAAGCAAAGGGAGAGAAGGTGGGAAAAGGAGGGTGAGGGAGGGGTGAGACGGATGAATCAGTGCAGTGTAGTCCAACTGGCAGAGTGTACA